TGCGATTGCATTTGCCGTAAATATGGAAAGCGTCAATTTTAACGATAGATACTCATTATTTTACTAAACGTTCTGGCGTAAGTTTCTAAAGTTTATGAAATAAATAATTGATAAATAATGAAAGTTATGAAATAATCATTTTATTACAATTCGACATGATTGGCTATATATTATTCGAACAACGAATGCATGATTTATTCAAGTATGTTTCTTGCTCGACCGGATTCAGCGGAGCGCGATTTATGCCGGTACCACAGAAAGATTACGAAACTAGGGGAGGGCTGCGGATGAGGGAATGACTTACTTTACTGCGATTAATTTGCACCGGGACCTCTTGTCACACTTGACGGATACTGTTGTGGTTCGAATTGCTCGGAAGTCTTGAGGCGTCAGTATAGTCTGCCGCAAACGCGAGACGAAGATCTTGCCGAGCATCGATTTGATGCCCTTACCGCTGAAATCTTGCGGTCGAAAAAATCTTGCTTGCGAGCCAGACTCCGAGCGCGAAGGCGATTCGATAACAGAGATTCCGTGCGAGCTTCTTGGATAAGCTCGATAATCACTCGTGGAGAATACTCTGTCTTCCTGGACACTTCCGCACTTGGATGATTGGGCGGCGATGTCGCGCACGAATCGGTTGAGAATGTTGCGTTAAGTCGAGAGAACTTGCTTCTGATACGTGCAAAACGAGTGTGCCGCGATCGTTCTTTTCCGCCCGGAAGGTTCTCGAGGGCGGAAAACGAAGGCGAGATGCGGAACGCGGCGCTCTCTGATAGATCATCCGACGAATGACGGAGTTGCGCTGAGGGCACAATTTTCGCAAACTAAGACACTGCGCGTGTCAGGAGTTGCGCCGTGTTCCGATTCTCGACAATTCCGGCATGCGCGCACCTGTACGTGGGGCGGGATCGACGCGTGATCTACCACGCGGGACGGCGTGATCGACAACCCCATGTGGATCGAATCCGTGCCCCGAGACTGACAGTAGGCACGTCGCAGTCAGCCTCGCGGCCCGATTACATAGAGAATATGTTCGATCCTTAACAAAGTACAATTGCAATAAATAACATTCTTTCTGTATCACTTAATCTTGAATACACGTTCAAGCAATTTTTTCATAATTATCATTTTCTAATTATCATTTTTCCGTAAATTACGCTGGAAAAATGATTATTAGCGATACATGTTTTTACAGGATTAAATGTGACCATTAATTAAAAAAATTGAAAACGCCGAACAAACGTTGTCCTTTTATCATTGGTCACTCCGTTTGCTATCAAATTTAATTATAATATTCGTCTTTAAATAATTTCTTATAAACCGTTTTCACCTTCCTTATTAATACTTTTTTCAAGTATTAACACAAACAAAGGTATAGGTGATCTAAGGATGTTTCATATTTAATTCTTTAAGACAACAATCTTGCCTTTTTATTAATTTTATAAACTTCGAAAAACCAAATGAGAACCGCGATTACGTTAAGTCTAATCCTGTGTCATGCAGAATATATCTTATGTATTCTTACAGTTTTAAAGGCACCTAGTTACAAAAACTTATTTCGGAAATAATATTAATTTCCGAAAAAGATAAATTGCTTTGTTTATCCTGCAGCCTTTAACATAATTCTATACACATCATTCTTTAAATAGTTAAATGTAATTATATATTTTTTTTAATATTTTTAGAGAAGCTTTCGAAAGAGAAATGTACATTCTACAAATTAAAATTTTATTTGTGTATTAATATCCTATATTTAAGTAGTCCGTCATTTGTAGCGCAATCGGCAAAGAAATATAAATTTATATATTTCTGTTGATTCTACATAGTTACAATTAGTTTAGGCTTTTTATGTGTAGAACCATTGTCTTTCCGATTGTACTATCAATAACGGAGTACTTTGATATAATTGAGTATTTCTATATTTTTATAAAAAATTGAAATTCATTATACAACGGAGAATTGGTGGTAACATCACTATGCGCAAAGTAAGGCTATTTCATAGAGCAAGATATCCCTCAATAAAAAAAGAATATATATATATATATATATATATATAAAGATAAAATTATATTTAGTCACTACAGTTCGTAAATATTAAACTATTTAAATATTTAGTCACACAGTATAGATGTTACATATACACGATATTTTAAATCTATAATAACAGACTGATATACCTTTGTCACGTTTTGTTACGTTATAGTGTATTAATTCATAAAGAAAATAATATTTTAAATTAAGTATCGCATCTTTATCTTTGTAAAATAAATTAATAAATTACAATGTCGATTGCTACGAAAAGATACTTGAGATTAGGTATTGCAAAATGCAATAAAAATCTCACAGAACCGCTATACACGATCCTATCTATAACCATTGAAACTGGTAAATATATGTACATATACATTTTGTTTAACAGCATTAATTGCCATTATTAAATAGTCGTTCATGGCGGTGCCGAATGTGGAGGTTGGCGTCAGCAATTTGAAACAGCACTGTGCTTCTCATCCGCATAATAAGACACTGTTACGACATCGCCACATTAATGAGACATTGACCCTGAAAGAAATTTTTTTTATGAAATATGCAACAAGCGTGGGAATAGGTATGCAGGCAAAGTAATGTTTTTTACTAACTTGATTTTTGTGAGGGCTGTGAAGAAGCACACACTGCGTCATAAAGAACGCTACCGTAGCGTTACCGCCTAATGCCGTAATGTGCGCGCGAACACTTGCCAAAACTTCCACTGCGAAACTGTGGGTGAAACCACTCAATCCACCATTCTGTAACACATCATTATCATCAGGATTTTAATAGTTGAATTTCTAACAATCCGTTGAGAATAATCGTCATTATGAACTCGCTCACCTCCCGTATCGATGTACTTTAGCGAATGAAAAAGACATATAAGTTGTCTTGATATCTCTCTATCCTTCCACCTAGATAAGATAAAGGCGTTATATCCCGTATCTTCCTTTCAAAGGCACCTGTAATGAATTAAAATATGAAGAAAAAGTCTGGCATTTTTTACCGCTTAGCATTATAAATTTAAAAATATACGTGTTGAAAACTTGAAAATATCAGGAAACGATAACAAGTGCAAATATTAAGTTATATTATATATTTTTTTTTCTTTCAAGAAAAGGTTTTTACATGTTTACGTTTATGAGTAGTGAATTATGTTAAACGCGAAGGTAAGCGTGGTCTTTGCTTTTGTATAGGGGTACCATTTAAAGTGGCGGAATTTCCTATACAAGTGCGTATTGCATTGTCGGATGTAACATTGTTCTCGAGATGATCCTCATCTAGGCTGAATTGAATATCATATCACTATCATCTGACAGAGGAAATAAAAAAATTAAGACCTTTGTTTTAAAAGATGTGTATGATGGCACTAGACGTTCAGCTAACAAAAATGTAGTAACTACGTATGTATAATCGTGAATTCTAATATAAAATCCGATACTATACATATACATATATATTTCGATAAAAATGTAAATGAAACTTATAAACAAAATTGCAAAAAGTATCTGATTTTCTTACTTGATCCTTGCTCAAGGAACGACACACGATTTTCCTTTTATATTTATTCGTGTTCAAAGGTTCTCCTAAACCAAGTGCCATACCAACGCTTTACCCGTCAATCGTCCTGCATCCAAAGTAGTCTTTATCGCGAGTACGGTCGACGGGCTGTATAAATTGTATAGGTATTTATTGATATAGCTTGATACTCGCTACGGTATGTAACTACTTTAAATAAAAAGAACCAAGTCAATATCTCATCGGGCCTAAGAGATATGGAGAAATTCGTGAAAACATATTTTACCTCGTTTCACCGCTTTAGGAGATGAACTTATAAAGCTCCTTTCTTAGTGGATGCTTACGACATGGCAGGAATATGCGCCCCCAACTTCATGAAGTTTCTAGATTTAGGGGTTTAGGCTGGACGGTGATGAGTCAGTCAATCAGTCAGGACATTTGTTTTTATATATATAGATTTTAAGAATTATAGGTATTACGCAACAGAAAAATTTAATGATGACATATCGTTACACGCGTAGTACCTACTGTGCTGTGTGTTTGTATGTATAAATACATATACCAATTTAGTATAAGGTAGAGCAATGTGAAATAAATTTTAATAGCTTAAATATGTGTTAAGAAATATATTTAAAAAGTTGTAATGTTTAACAAGACAAATTTAAAAACGGAAATAAATGCGGTAAACTATGCGTCTTTCAATAGATGTTTTTTAAATAAAATTATATAAATCTTCTAACACATTGCAATAAAAAAATAACTGAAATAATAATAAATAATTCAATAATATCAAAATACAAAACTAAAATTTTACAAAACATTTACTTATTAAAATAAATATATTTAAAAATTTTCAGTACTTATCGAAATATTCCGTAAATTAATTTTTGTCTTAACTAGACATACAGACGCGCAATACGCGCTATTTAGTTAATATTATAGGTAAAGGTACTATTACTGTCACATTATTAAGCTTTATTTTAATATCTCTATGCAGAATAGCTGAAGGAACAGAATTACATATGAACAATTATTCAGTTCTGTTTAGAAGATAGGTACTGATGACATTAATATATCATATACAAAAAAATTACACAAAAAATTCTTCTAATACATTTATTTCTTTAATTTTCCTCTTGAATATTTGTTTGTTATAAATTTCGAACAGTAGTTATTAAAATATAAATTGAATGTATATAGGACAGAATATAATATAAATTGTTACATCATAGAACAGGCCTACAGCTAGTTTGCACATTTCAGCCGATCTTATACCTACTACATCCTCCCTCCTCAAGTTTCGTAGCATCTAGGCTGTTTGCGGAAACATAAGATGCTTGAGCTCAGGGATGGTATTATATTGAGAAAAAAAA